TTATATATGTAGATATCACACGGGCGATATAATATTCACAATCTTTCAATAATTATTATAATAAGATCAAAAGTGGAATATTTTATTTCTACTATGAAAATAGATTGCCTTCATAGTTTATGTATGTGCCAATAGAGTTGTATCTGCTGATATACAGGTAGTAGTTCAGGTAACTGCAGATGTGGATTTTGTTATGTATAGCAATGAACAGTGCCTGACACTGGCTTGTATTTTCTGTATTAAGAGGACCTTCAAAATTCAGTTACTTTAGCATACGCACATGTTTCTCTCAAGGAAATATTTATGATATAAGTACTGCCTTCCACTTGCTACGTGTATGGGTAAAGGTACGTTTTCAATTCAATTCAGTGGAGTTTGGTAGATACACATTTGATTATTGGATACAAATTACACTGACTTACCGATTTCATCTCCTTGTTCAAAACAAACTGGACTGAGTCCTTCATCGTTGCAACATTTGATGGATACCAATCCACTGACGCCAGCTCCGATAACAGCAACTCGTTTTGTTGATAGCACCATTTTGAAAGTACACCTACTAGTTCAACCAGCAGCTTATACTACACTCTTTCTGTATAGTTATATATAGGCGTCACCGTTGATGGCGTAGACTGGGTAGTAGCTTTTAATAGAATAGGGGGATTAATATTAGAATAGGGGGATTAATATTAGAATAGGAGGATTAATATTTACAGTGACATATTTTTTTTTAATAACTGGTAACTTCCATGTACTGTTAATAAGCATGTGTGATTCTGGCTTCTGAATTGCTGGTGTTAACAGATGGTGAATATTAGAAACGTGTATATTTAGCTCACACTGAAGGACATCAGAGCTTTGTTTAGATATAGATCCTCACAAAATCCAACTATCCTGTGGTATTTCCTACACATATGGCCACATTCCAGCTTAACCAGTTGCACACGTGATCATTGGTGTCATGGCGTGTACTGCTTGGTGGTTTATAAAGAACATAAATGGGTAGAATTGTGACAAACAGAGCAACTTTTAAAAATATTCATTATTTTTTTTTCTTAGTCTATGTGTTTTATCGTCTAACTATAAGTGATAGGTTACCAAGCAACGAACATTAGAGAGAACAAAAACAGAGGTATGTCAAACAAGGTTAACGTCAGGAGGATTTTCAGAAGAAGAAACGCCTACAATCAGTTATGACCGTACACAGGGCGGAAAAATAGTCAGGTTCCAATATGGCGTCTTATATATTGATGGGAAAGTAAAAAGGGTAACATTGACCAGTACCACGTCAGAGGACACACGCAGTTGAATGTGTCAATAAACTGTGCCAACAAACTCATATTTTTCCTTGTGGGTTGGATTTTAATTCTTCAGAATTAAACTCATGCATTATGGCAAGAATTACATAAAGATAAACTGAAGTAATAACAAGGTAATAAGTGATGTTGTAAATAAACAGTGTTACTTAATGCAGTAAATTCCCCTATGTAGTCAAGTGCCGGTGAACAACAAACATATACCTTAATATGTAGTAGAGAAGTGTACCATGTTGTTATGCCCACGGCTAGTATGTGAATTAATTTTCATTTATAACAAGCAACGTATGGATTATTTTCAGAAGCAATACTCAATGATTTGTGAGTGAGAGATGCGGGTAGCCATTGAAAACAGTATTTACGAGAACACTTAATTTAGAACTCAAAAACATAAATGAATACTCATGAAATTTCCGGGGGCGGTTCTCTTGACATAAAACTGATTGGTTAGATTTTCAAACAAACACGAACCCTGCTTCCATGGAAACAGTCTTTTCAAAAAGGAATATTTTATTCACAGGTAATTTCTGGAATGATTTTTTGTTAATAATTTACAATTTCAGGATGGGTTGCCATTGGCTAGAATCTAGTAAAGATGTGGATCCTGTTTCTATGACATCTATTTTGCGAATTACTTTTTTTCTATAACCCGAAATATTTTGAATGTATTGTCATGATAAAAAAACTGAAACGATTGGATGTTGGGAGATATCTGGTTCTGGTTACCTTAGAAACAATTATTTTTGAATACTTCTGAGTTTGAGAAAGGGTTTCATTTGAAACATAGAAAGTTTGAAAGAGATCTGAATATCCTTACCATGGTGTCATGAACACTAGCGTTGTGTTCAGGGATCAGGGAACTTCGTCTCGCTTGGCTGATGTCACTTACACGTAGAGGTACCAGATTCGACCCAAATGAATACACATAAGTTCATTACAGATAGTCCAGCTTTATTCTCCCAATCAATCAGCCGAGGTAATCCCTCGCTGTACAATTATCTCGTTCTCTCTCCCTCTTACAAAAGTTTACCAAACCTATATTAAAAGTAAATCTCTAAGGCGTGGCAGAGTAACCATGCGACTAGCCAATCGCTGCAGTCGCTAGCACGATCAAGTGATAACCAGGGTTGTGTCTCACGGTTAAAACCTTGCGAAGTCGCCACTACTAAATACAATAAGTGTCTATTTATAAAATTCCTGTAATATATGTTTATAATATCCACCCTAAACATGCAAATTGTTGATTCTAAACAACAGCGTGTGAACCGAATGTGCGAACGTGAAGTCGCTATCATAACAATGCAACTATCACTTTGCGGCTAGTTAGGTTAATGTATGCCAATTACATTGTTTATTAGTGTGTGGCTGTATATTGGTCTTATCTAATTGGAGATTTTTAACAAATTGAAAAAAAAATATTGATGTGACACATTTCTGAATAATATTTTGAAGTAAGAAAATCATCACAGCACATCGTGTTTGATATAAATCCAATGAAAGTACATGTATACATATATATACAACTTGAATTTTCAAGGTGAATGTTCCGGCGAAGCACTCCACTATCACCTTGAAGTATTTCAATAGTATCAGTTTTCTAACAGCCAATCATCATATTGCTTCTTTCATTAATGCGCTTGGTCAAGCTATCAACACCCACGGGACGTAGCTGAGTCACAAGTAGTGCCTGTGCAATGCCCACCCACACGCTTCCCATGATTTTTTTGCTGAAAATGATTACTCGCATCCATGTAAATTTGAGATATTTCCCGTGCTGTAGCCACGCCCACCTATCCTGAAACGGTCGACTGTTTCCGGATTTCCGACTCTCGTCGAAAGTGCGCCACCAAATGCTAAAATATGAGAGGAAGCCATACCTCTGGACCGTACTTTTAATATCGCTGTGTCATCATTCAACATACTTTTAAAACGATATACATTTTTTGATCGGCGTTTTTGACTTTTTTGCGATCCTGATTATCGCTTTATAGAGACCACCCGTGTTATGTAAGAGGTAATAGTAATTTTGATAATGACACGACAACGAAGCGTCGGACAAACAGGAAATTACGCAGCCCTGTTTTCATTTTCGCAGGCTAAAAGTGTCTGAATTGTTTGGTGATTGGTGTTGAATGTCGAATTCACATCTTTGTTGCCTTTACTTGCAGCTTGATCTGCGTAATAATTTATGGAATAAGAATTCGGGCTTGGGCTGTCAATGTGTTTCCAACAAGTATTTTTTTAATATGATGTCATAATTATGAAAATCATGCTAAATCCACTCTGAATTTGTCTGTATGTGAGTCGCTCTCAATTATTTTTGTTATCCATTTAAACGCCGCCATTCACGCACTTGTCCCCGTCATGATCCGACGCGTTCACCAATTACAACAAATTTATTTCAACGTGGCTGTCATTTATTTAGTAACTGTGATTTGTCGTTTTTTTTAATTATCTCTCTATTTTATAATTTAATGTTTAGAATGTCAAAATATGTTCTCATTTTATTTTAATTTTGAATGTTTTTTTTACTCAGACGATCGTTGAAATAAAACAGTGTAGTGACGTGCCTGCCTAGTAACCTGCTAAATAACAAGACGATTCAGGCGTCAAATTCGATTTTGTCCAGTGCCGGGGTCCAGCAACAGTGTACAATCGTGCGTCGATGACGGTGGCGACCACGGGGACTAGCTACACCAGACCGGACATATTTCGCATCTAACTCAACCCCATGCAACAAACTTGATACTAATGTGTTCATTATGGTCCATTCTTACTCGACGAACAAGTACATAATTGGCAATTTAGTCAAAGATGAGAAAACAGCACAAGCAATTCGCCTTATTCACACGTATCGGTAATGCAGCTACCACAACTTCCCCTTCTGACGTCACAAGGGAATTTCTGTATGCAATGA